CGATAATAATATAAACCATATACAATAAACGGGTGCTTCCAGCCACAGCTACACAACTGCTAAATATTGCAAAGAAAATGCATAAGGCAACAACACCTTCTGCACTCCAATTTTGTCCAACACGGACTGCAGAATGCGCCAATTAGAAATCCAATCGTTTTCTCTGCTCGAAACCAGTTTCACTTTTTTGAGCGGTAGTTTGCCTGGGAAGAGCACTCCCGTCAGCTGGCAGTACGCTGCATCCGTCGCCATTTCCTCAATGCGCTTGTACTTCCCCTGCAACTTAAGCAAATTTCAAAAGCTTTTTATATTAGTTTGTTCTGTTCACTTCCCATCCCCCCACAGATCCTCATGTTTTTTCTGCCAGGCTAACAATATGTTAACAAACAAGCAGGTTTTGATAAACAAACTATTGTAAGCTAATTTTGACGATAGATGGACTGATTTAACAAAACTAACGGCACAGTTCTGGAATTCTGGAAAAAACTACTCTTCCACGCAAATATCCATTAAAAAGGTAAAAAGGGCACACAGGGAAATTTAAATTTGAAACAATGGTGAATTCCTTTTGGAAGTTTCAGTAAGCAATAAAGCCAACCTTCTCTGTTTCGATAGGGCCCGTGTGCTTTGCCAATTATACCAGTTCGACCCGGCGCAATCGACTTCGACACTGGCACTGGCTGAAACAAAACCACCGGTGAGCTGAAAAAAGTGTACAGCAACCAGAAGAATCGCTGCAATGACTCCTCAACGGCAGCTGCTCAACGCAGCACTCAAGAAGCATCCTCATTTACTTGCAATATGGGTAATATTGAAGCGATCAAGAAAAAAAAAGCAAACGAAAAAATACCAGGCTATTTTTAACGCCGGAAACATCTGGCCAATCTCCGCTATAGTTGGCGTCAAAAATCCTTCTGGAACACTTCAGAAATTCCGAATTGTCTTGGAACTTGGCTCGGATTAAGCGTTCAACAGGAATTTCCTAAATCAAAATATCTATTGTACCGAAATATTTATTAACAGCATAATGATCATTCTCGCGATTACTCTACTTTCGGCAGTCTCACAAACAGCCCCACAAATTCTCGAGCCAATTCGATTTTGATTAAACAGAAAACATGCGAAAAGCCCATCAAAATAACAGGTAATGCAGCAATCCTGACGACCTTTTCGCACTTTTTCGGCTGTGTAATTTTACATGTATGTTATAATTAATTCTGTTCAGAAGTTTAATTTTTCAATCTTCGCCATTGCTAAATATTGCATGAAGCAATGATTTCGCGTCAAACCGAGACTGGAAAGCACCAGGTTTGCCGGTGCAATTACGTGTTTTCACACTAAACTCGCAGATCGCTAACAGCAGGAATGACCCCTGTGCTGAAGCCTAGCACTTGGGTTCATATTGGCCGCGCTTTGGCCTTTTCCGGCATGCAGGAGATAGGGCGTCGGTTGGGATGAAATTGCTGGATAAAATGGTCACATGGACTTCCAGGTGCATGATTAGGAGTTTCTTGCATGAAACCCTGTCTTTTTTTCGGTAAAAGCTCGCTTTTTGAAAAAATGCAAATTTTCAGGTCGCTAAAAAGTGGGGATATTGCTATAGTGGTCGTTCATCAAAAATCCGAAGTATGCGCATGAACTGAACGTTCATTTACACATTTGAATGAGGGCGGTCGTCCGCTTCTGTTCCATATCTTCTAGCTAGGGATATTCGTTGTCTATATCTTTAAAATATTTAAACTTATGTTACATAAAAACTAGAAAGTTACCGAAATTATTCCCAAATCCAGCACATCCGACCGACAGCCGCGGGGCCAAATACCGCAAACAAAATACTGGCGCCTCGCCTAATGGCGAAATCCCTCGCTGTTCTCACCGGCATCCAACAGCACTTCTCAAATCTCACCGGTTCTTTTTACACAGCCTGCAATTCTGCTTCGCGTCAACAACTAGAATAATGTGAGATAGTCAAATTACTACTATTAATTCCGGATATTACTCCCACTTGGCTGATGTCTCCGGAAAATCCTCAACGACTAATTTACTTCAACGAACAATGCCCATTTGTAGCAAATTCTTTTCAACGAGATGTTCCCCGTCCATGTAGGACTTAATGAGTTCAAAATCAGCCCCTAGTTGTACATGGTTCTCACGCACAGGCCCATAAAAGTTCTTGGCGGGTAAGCTACTAACTCGGGGCCTATGAAAGCTAGAAAGCTGAAATTTTATGGGGATACTCGCAGTCTGAGTAGGAGAAGCATCGGCAAATACAGTACCGAGCATGAGATCACTTTCTAGAATCGAGGGAAATGTTTCGTGGGGATGAAAATGTGGGGTGCTATATGCATCGAAAAAAAGACAGTTACCTTTCGCGGACATGTTGGATTTATCATTGCCGGAAAGGCGTTCAGAAACCGGTCAATACCTGAAAGTTTATTTTTGCTAGTGAATCTAAAGCACCGCGTCAAAATAACACCCACAACAAACTACATCGTTAGCTCCAAATTGGGGCGCCCGGTTACTATGAGACTTACGGGATATAAGTATACCACGCCTCCCTCCGCCCTAGGACTTGCCTGATAGTAATTAGCAGAATTTAATTCGGCTATACCTTGCCAGGTCGAGGCACGAATTGCGAAGACTGAGTGATAAAGTATAAATGCGCTGGAAGCGAGGGGAAAAGTGTGAGAAGCTCGCTGATAGCCGCGCAAGCCCTG